CCAGAATAGAAAGAGGAGTGGGAGGCCCCGGTGCACAACTAAGCAGGAGGACAAACACATTAGAGTGTAGTTTGAGAATCAGACGCCTCACAGGTCCTCGACTGGCAGTTTCATTAAATAGTTCACGCAAAACACAACCAATTGACAGCTAGAGTGCCACAGGTCTGCAAGGCTGTAATTGCTGCAAATGGAGGATTCTTTGATTTATTTATTATTTCAATTAAAAATCATTATTTCTAACTTTGTCAATGACATTTCTTCCTATTTAAACTCATTTCATGTATGTTTTCAGGGAAACCAATGACATTTCTAAGTGACCCCAAACCTGTGAACGGCAGTGTACATTCAGACAGCTTTTCAATATAATAATGGAGTTTACAAATTACATTAGCTGCAAACTGACTATCTACTAGCGATATGGTGGAAATTAATGTTCCAACATTAATAATGATTAATAAGACAACAGCAAAGAGTTGTTTCCTTCCTCCATGCACATTGGCACAACTTCAACTACTTAGGAACTCCCTTCTCTGGTTCTAATAGCAACACATTGGTATTGATATCTTATTAATACGGAGGCAAATCTACTGGATTTCAAGACAAATGTATTATAATCCTGAGGTTTACGTTAAAAACAAACCCATGTGTCTGACTGAAATGATGTGAATGAATAGGTATTTTATATGCTGACCTTCACACATGCACGCAGGCTTGAGGATGTAGCCACAGTTGCCATTGCTGTAGAATTTGGCTCTGTTGAGCTGCAGGACCCGGCCCTCTGACTGGTAGTTGAGTGCGACTGAAATCAAAGCAGTTCACTTCATTATTGTCAGCAGCCTGACAATCACTTTAAAGCTACAGTAAGTCACTTTCATAAAAACAACTGTGGTTGCTCTGCCTCCTTTTAGCGCTCCTAACGGCGTTTGGAAGGTTCCACTGCACCTGAAGGAAAATAGTCCAATCAGAGCCGAGGAGTCTCTGACGAAGCAGCCAGTCACTGCTGGTGAAGCCTGTGAGCTCTGCCTCAAATAACTGTAACTGTTTAGCTGTAAAATGAGAAAGTCCGTGACGCTGCCGCCATGTTGACATCGGTCGGGCTAAAAACAAGCGCCGCCCACCGACCGGAGCAAACTTTCTCATTTTAAAGATAACAGAAACTAAAATATTTTTCTGAAAACATCCGATGAGAGAAAAAGGGCAATGCAGGATCAAAATGTTTCATGCTGTTTATCAGCGATGCCTCGTTTGACATTTTGATCAGAGTTTACGACCAGTTATTCACAGTTGCGTCTCCTCGGCTCTGGTTGGTCGTTGTCCTTCGGGCGCAGCGGAATCTTTTAAATATCACTAGGAGTAATAAAAGGAGGCAGAGGAACCGGATTTTTTTGACAGATTACCCTCATGTACTGCCATCAGGGTATAGCAATGATTTGAGCAATACGATAAGAAGTTATTCTGATAAAAGCTGCAGCTTTAATGTGCTGGCAAGCAGCTGCTGCGGGAGGAGAAAAACACCACAGAGAAAAGTGAGTGTTCAGTCTTTACAAATCAGAATGTATAAGCAGCATTAATAACAACAGCGACAGCAGCACGGATGGCGTCTGACCACTTCGAATTTAGAGGAACATGGAGCAAGCGCTGGGTCGGGTGGAGCTCGTACCAAGCTGGCAGCCGGCGCTCCAGAAGGGCTGGGGGTTGAAGTTGGAGGAGTCCACACGGTAGGAGGACGGGTAGATGCGGGAGAGCTGCCGCTGGTTGAAGTGGATGAAGGACGCTGTTTTCTGCTGCATCACCTGGTGGGCTTTGGTCTCGCTGAGCGACGACACCTGCCAGCTGCAGCTGGCTGCCGGGGGCGACACAAACACAGACTCAGGTGATAAGAGGGTTCAACTGACAGGGAGGTAATAAGATCTGAACTGATCAATTCAAAACCTGTATCTTGTGAATATTCATATGCTATCTGCAAGATTAAAGGGGATTAAAGGGGGGGGGGGGTCCTCCCGCAGGACATTTTGAGTGTCACACACTTCATTTCCGGCATTCTGATGAACTTTTCTGAATCACCCTCTCTAAATGTGCATGTGGCACTTTGTCAACTCAATGATATATGCTTTTATTTTACTTTGATTTATAAACCTCTGGATTTAAATAGCTCATATGTTTTGGTGCAAGATTTCTGCTCATGTTCAAAACTCTGCACATTCAAAACATATCCCGCATGCCTGTGTTCTCTGAGAACAAGGTTGTAGTGTAAAGTCCCAGGGAAACAGAATATTTGAGCGGCGTACAGTTACAAGAGGGGTTTCAATCAAATCCTTCGCATTTCATTGGACAGCTAAAAGGTGGGCGGGCTCAGCGTGTAGCTATTCGTAAATTGGTGCACAATATGACCAGGGATGTGATCTGAAGGGTTAAAAGGGCCTTTTTCTTTTTATCTCCACTTTCAATCAAAATGTTTGGAAAAGACACTTGGTCCATCGCTGGACATTAGTAGGGACATGTCCCTACCACACCCACATATTCACTGACCCTATTAGGTTAGCAGAGCTGCTCACCTTGTGCCTCAACGTCATACAGACCCACAGAGCACGTGTATTTGACCAGGTCAGACAGAGCTCTGGATAACTTCATGGTCTTCTTCTTTCTGGAGGGTCAACAAAGGTCAAAGGTTACAGGCCTATAACATAATAAAGTATGACAGAGCATATTTATATCTTATGCATCATGACAGAATTTACAGATTCATAATGATGTAATTTATTGTTGTTGCATTTGAATCCTGAAATGTTCAGTAGGTATCAACATCTGTCCATCATATTCATATGATAATATGAAAAAGTGTTAGAATTTACATCTGTAGAAGACGACTACACACTCATGTGTCGGTATAACATTAGAGGGTGTGTGTGTGTGTGTGTACTGCATACTTGCTGTGGTGCAATGGGGCACGGGAGGTGCTACTTGTACTCTCTTGGTCTGTGTCTGTATCTTCAAAGCTCAACGTCTTCTTCAGCTTGGTTGTCTTTTTCTGCAGAGGACAGAGTTGACATGTGAGAGAGCAAAGAACACTGGAGAGATGTGGAAAAAGCTCACTATTAAGGCATTTTTTCGGCCTTGTGTTCCGCCATTTTCGTAGCTCCCTATTGGATGGGTGCTTATGATCTGACACCTGGGCGCTACGTCTTTATAGAGGTTAAAGCCCAGAAAGGTCCCGAACACAGCAAAATGAGAAAAGTTCACTATAATAATAAATACAGAAAATCATTTCACCTGAAAGTTACTTGAATGATTAATTGACTGCCTCTCAAAATATATTTAAAAAATCTATTTTTTGTTCTAAAGAAATGAAATACCTGTACAATTACCATGCAAATACTTTGTTGTCTATGGTATTCTGATCATTATCTGGATTTTTACACATCCTGTTGGATGCTGTGGTTGCGTCCTTGCATATTTCAGTCAAACAGCATTCTTCCTGTACTTAGTAACTTCATGGAAATTGTGGGGTTTGACCACATGACCAGCATGCACACAAGTACAGTTTGAAGACCGATTCAACTTATTATTAAACTTGCTGATTTTATTGTTTGATACAATGGTGATGCAACAAGCCCCTACGTCACATAATAACATCATCCACAGTGAAAAAGTGTGATTCGCACTGCTCTCGTCAAAGCAAAGTACAGAGAAACAACTTGTGATTTGCAGATAGAGGATTGGGCAGATGTAAGACTTAAGCCTAAGAGCAAAGAGAGGAGAAATAAAAAGGCCAACCTTGCGTTTAGAGAAGCTCCCCATGAAGGAGCGTCCTGTACGCTTGTTGCTGCTGGGATTGGCCTCGTCCGCTGTGTCCGTCCCGTCCTCACTTTGACCCTGAAAAAAAAATACGGATTCGTTCTTCCTCCGTCACCCTGACGTTGTGTGTTCGTGCTGCATTTCTATCCTGTGGACTCATTTATTGTAAGAATTTTTTAGTATGATTATATATATATATATATATATATATATATAAAAAATTTATATCACCCTCCAAAACTTTTTAACTGCTTTCACAGTTGAAAAAAAAGTTACTTAGAAAATGGATCCTGCATAAAACATTATTTTAAAAAACATTATATTTCCTCACCTCGTCTCCCAAAAGACAACTTTCCTAATTGAAGGTCTCTATTAACATATTCCCTCACCACATTGAAATCACGTGTACAGTTAGACATCCGTCAAAAATGAAAAAGCCGGTAGAATCATATTCACTGGCTGCAGAAGGAGAAAGCCAGTTTAGATCCATGCATCACTCTCTCAATTGTTTTTCCTCACTCGCCCCTCAGTGCTTCCGTAGTTTCCTTTGATCAACAGTTAGATTCAAATAAATGAGGAACACCGTCTTTGATTCATCACTCAACATATAAAAACAACAAGACAATAGACAAGAGTCATCAAAAACTACATTTCAAAAGACAGTGAGGCAGAAAAGGAAATCAAAACTCTTCATGATAAATATGGAGGGCTAGTTTATATGTGTAGAGATGTGTAAAGAAGCTCAAGGATTCTAATTGCATGTGAAAGATTCTACTTCAGTGTGAAAGAGGGATTTCCATGCCAATAGGCCGAGTGTTGTAAATGACTGGGAGAGTGGACAGAGAGCGGATTGGGTGAGAAACATTTCATGTTTACTGGGGAGAGCTCCACACTCTTTCCAGCAGTGCTCTACCACAGTTCTAGCGACTCCACATTCACACCACAAACAGCCCCATTAGAACGTGATGAAACGTGCTGGGCAAAAATATCTACATTTCCTTCTGTATTCACACGTTACAAAATACCAAATAACATAATATTCAATTCATTAATTAATCAAATTCTAAAAACCAATTTTGAAGTGAAACTAAAGAAAGGCAGCAAAACGTAAGGTAAGTCCTAATAGAAGTTCCATGTGCCATGTTGGTTTTTCTTTTCCTTAACAGCACGAAATGGAATTTTTCACCACTAGGGGCCGCTTGAATCAAACAGTATGGCTCATATGCATATTTACGTATATATTGGTGCAAAAGTTTGGATTTTGTTTGCATCGGTTCAGAGTGTGAACCGTTTTCATCCAAATAATATATTCATATTCAGTTCCAGCTCAGGGATTTGAAGGAGGTCCGTGCTCACCTTAGAGCCGCTTTTGTCCGCGGGCTTCCCAGCAGGAGGGAGGGCCGCGATGGTGAAGCTGTCCGGGTCCTCTCGGTCTCGGATCTTGGACTCCTTCATCAGGTTGTCCAGCTTTTTCTTGGCCATGTTCTCCACCTGCTTCCTGTTGGCTGACGTCTGGAGGAGGAGGGAACAGTAACACAGAGGATTATGATTATGATATATGATGATTACATGCCAACTCCTGTCTGCTGGGAGTTATATATATATATATATATATATATATATATATATTCTGACATTTTACAGGTTGGAAATGTGACAGACTGATTTCAATTGTTTTGCAAAATGTTTTGCCAAGTAAATCAATTTGTGGAAAATTGTGGCGGTTGAAAAAATGTTTTGCTCAGATCATTTATCTAAGCTCTTACTTTATCTATTGAATCTGTGACAGGTGAAGAAACAGGTGAAACAGAAAAAAAGTTTTTGGCAGGTGAATATCAGCATAATTGTTTGTGTATATTGTTGTAATACTTATTTTGGACACAAGACGCTGAAGTGCACCACTACAACATGCTCTAAATAGGACTAAAAGCATTCATGTTTTCTTCAGGTGAGTTTATTATTCCACAATATGCTCTTAACACAAGCTGCATATATTGTGTGTTAGCCAGTTATGAAAAATTACTATCATGTCTGTCTTTTGGCAGGAAATGTACCTAAAAACACCCTTAACCGGTGTTAATCTGCCGTTAGGGAAAACATTAACACTTTAAGTCCGATATTTTTCACCTGCCAAAACTGTTTTCACACATGAAAAAAAAAAAAAAAAAAAACTTAAAAGACGATCCTGTCGAGACTATTTTAATCACCTGGTCAAATCTTTTTTTCTCCACCTGTTTCATAGAACTTAAGGTCCGTTCACACCAAACGCGGCGTGAATTATTTGTGCGAGTAGATTACTTACAAAGTCTATGCACAGGCGCGATGAGACTGGAGTGATGCAAATTTGCGATGGCGCCGCGAAATAGATGGCGTGACTGCGGCGTGATAGCCTATCAGCGTTGAGATGGTCCCCTCCATCACAGACGTCCTGCCGTTGTTGAATCAGGAAACAAATACTGTAGCTGTCTGTGTTCACTTAGAGACCGGACCAAACTATGTGTGTAAACCATATGGTACAAACAATGAATAGACGCTGCCGTATTTACGCCGAGATGATGTTATTTTGAGTGTTGTTGGAGCTGCTACTATGTTAGCATAGCCTAGCACCGATCCATCCGAGCTCCATTGAGAAAAGTATTTTAAAAGTGATTTGCTTGTCGTCTTGCGGAGAGAACTAACAAAACATGAATTCAGACTTTTTACAAATCGGCATCATTACGTAGTTATTTCGGAGTCCCTTTTTCTCCGTTTATTGCAGTTAAATTACAGCAAGATCAGTTTATTTTGTGTTCATACAGCTGTAGTAAACAGCGACGTGTGGCTTGCTAGACACAGTGAATACAGCTCGATGAAATACACGGAGCTCCTCCGGATGATGTTATGAACCCAGACAAGACGACGTTTATTTTCCCGGGATATCTGGGACTTCCACAACAAGTACTAAGCAGAAATAGGTTATTTTTTCCATGGTTAATGGCAGAAATAAATGGCGGACAGTCGAACGGCTTCCAGGGCGATAAGCCACGCCCCCTCTCTGGTGCGTTTGGCGCGAATGTGGCGATTCACGCGAATGACCACAAATGGTCAACTATGGAGCCAAATCCAGGTCAATAGTTTTGATCAAAAAAAATTAAATGTATTCCAAAAAATTCTAGAACTGAATCAAAATTTTATTCAACCCAAAAAAACTTTTCATTCACTTATTTTTATTTTGAATACATTGCTGTATTTTTCTATGTTCAAGACCACAACTTTTCAAATGATTAAAACTATTGACCTGGATTTGGCTCCATAGTCCCTGGCCAGTGAACGCGGCACGAATGATGCGATTTGGCGTTTGGTGTGAACGCACCTTAAGAAAGCTCATCCTAGTTAAACTTTATTTTCACCCGTTCTTAATTCAAACACAGGAGAGAAAACGATTTAGTTCACCTGCATTGATTTCTCACTTGCCTCTCAGGGCTTCCGTAAATTTGTGTGCTCCACAACTGAAGAAGTTTTTTTTTTTTATTTAGTATGTAACTACATTTGATAAAACTGTCTTATAATACTGACATAAGGTCGTAGGTTTGGGGAACTCAAAATCATTCATGTGGAACATTATGTGAGAAAGTCTATGGAGGAACTCATACTTGTATTCTTACTGTTACTTGGCACAATCATTTTTACAATCTATCAATCATTTATATCGATGAATAATGCCAAACATTCCCTGTGATCTTATTTATTCAAAATGTGAGAATTTACTGCTTTTCTCTGTTTTGAACTGTTTGAACAAAAAAAAGATACAAAGATTTAAGATGTCTTTTTGGACTCTGGGAGATTGTGATGGACATGTTTTACTATTTTCTGATGGTTAAGAGTCAGAACGATTAACTGGGAAAATAAATTATGAAAGGGTGAATTGATTACGAAACAAATTATTGAAGTTGGACAGAATATTTCAGTGTATTTACAGTGAAGAATACAGCAAATGAGCCAAACCCTCAGTCACACTGGAAATTACGGATTTGAAAAGCTGGACAAATCAAAGCACAACTATTTGCATTCTGCACATCACCAAAGGTAGGTAGAAGAGATGCGTTTGTATAATCTAGGTGAACCAATGAGTCGCCTGGCTGTATCTGAGCTACTACACTGTAGAAGATAAGTATGGATGATGATCTCTCACTCTGGTCCGACCAGAAGAAGAAAAACAAATCATGCAGGATCCAACTAGAACTCACATTTCACAAGGAAGCAAAGATGAAGCAATGCATTGTGACATAATGCAGAACCTCTCTAGCTGGTTGATGAATGGACCTTCTAGTAATGTAACAATTTCCACGTGTGAGGGCATGAGAGAGAATGATGAAGGTGGGACACACATTATAAAGATGAAGTATGTGCTTTTCCAGAGATCAGCGCTCAATGCCTCGCTGACAATAATATGTGCATGCTCAGTTCAGCCACATGGTGGCAGAGTGTCTCTATAAACCACTTCAGTCAGTGATCAGACCACAGGCAACATGCTCCATGAAGACTTAGTTTAAGTACTCGGTGCAGATGTGTCAAAATGGAACAATATTGAGATTTTCTTACTAACGAACGTGTTCCAGTCGTCGCTGTCCGTCTGATAAGATGGATATGATGCAGGGGGATTACATATTTATTATAGAACTGATAAACATTACATTTAATCTGAGCAGAGTGCTCTGTTCCGATCAGATTCCACACAGTACATTGTGCATTATAGTTCTTACTTTGAACTTTCAGGTAAGAAATCTGGTTGTTTCAGAGACAGAAATACAATTTGGGAAGACATTTTATATTTGGTTTTGAAAAAAATCTGGACGACACCTGAAGCCTCAGTACTTAAAGAGTTCTGTGAGTGCATCTGTTCTGTAAAGTGAACAGAAAGCCCACACATGCTGCCATACAGATGTCTCATCAAAGCATCATTAGTTGCAATAGGATAAAAAAAACAAAGAATTACAACAACATTGATGTGTTAACCACATTGGTCCGTGTTAGAATGTTCTCTCACATAATCAGCACCGATAACCAGAGCCAAACTGAAAGGGATAGTTGTGATGTTTTGTAGTGGGGTTGTATGAGGGTGTTTTACTACAGTAGATGGAGCTTGAGACAGGAGAACCAGCTCGGGTGCAAAGCCATGTACTGCTGTGAACGTACTTTAGACACCTACAATATCTATAGACAGGAACTGAAGCTGTTATCTGTGCTCTCTTTCCTGTCTTTTTGTGTCTGAAATATGTCCACAGCAGTACATTGCTTTGCTCCTGTGCTAGTTCTCCTATTGTAGTTATACACTGAGTATGGAGATTTAGCTTATACAGCCACTCCACAAAACATCAGAACGATCCCTTCAAACTGAAACATCTAGCTGCTCATCTTCCATGGCTGTTTTTCAATCAATTACATGAGACGTTCATCTTCATCATTCATCAGTTAATTCCATGTATTTGAGTCTATGTGACTATCCCACTTGAAACATTGGCCATCATGTAGCTGCCTATCAAGTTTTCAAAAATTCTGGGACCAACGGCGCTGAATATTGTTATTTTACTGCTCATAACTGACCTACAAGACCACTAACGATGTGCATGTTTGGTTCCAGATAAAGAATCTTTATTCACCACGAGTTGTGAAGTATCTTCAAGATGCAATATAGCAAAGTGTCTTTGGGCCTACAGTATTACTTTAAACATTCACACGAAGGATGGGAGAGTATGGCAGATGACTGGCTGAGGTTTCTGAGTTGGTGGAGGATGAGCTTTGTATACAGTACCTTCCACTTTGACAGAAGCGAACAACAATTGAAGAGAAGAAAAAGAAGAAGAAGGGACAAACAGGAAGAGAGAAGAGCAGGAAATGAGAACAAATAGCCACACAGAAAGAAAGAGACCGAAGCAAACAGCAGGGATAGCAATATAGGAGATACACTAAAAGACAGTAGAGGAAGAACACTCACCAGATCTCAGTTTAAACATGAACCGTCAAGAACAGGAAATACACGCACAATTCACATTTCATCTGCTGGACAATAGCACAAAGGCTGCCAGTAACTCTGGTAGATAGGAGACATACATGTGGCAGAGTAGAGGAACAGACCAAACAAGGTACATACATCTCCGTTCATCAGCCTGCAGTCATCCTCCATCTCATCAGCACTGTCCTCGTCCGAAACGTCTCCCTCCTCTGCATTCTCATCAATGTTGGAAGGTAGTTTCTTCCCCTGGTGGAGAAAAGAATGAGTCAGCAAAACATCGCATTATAATAAAAAGTGGCTGCAACATTAAAAATGAGGTTAGAGGAGGCAAAGCCTGGTGTCAGGGCATAAGACACTGACCATGTGCTGCAATCACTGAGTTTATGTCCAGGAAGGGACCATCCTCTTAGTCTCCCTCTACTACACTACATGTAATCATGGAAAAATGTACTACAAAAAGTGAAGTATTACGAATTGAATTTAGCCTGAGAAGGAGCAATTCCTGTTAACAGACACAGCCAGAGACTAAATACAGAAACACGTTTGAAAAAGGAAAACAATTAGAACTTCGTAGTGCACGAAGTAGTGTGCAGGGAGTAGTGTGCAGGGAGTAGTGTGCAGGGAGTAGTGCAGGGAGTAGTGTGCAGGGAGTAGCGCAGGGAGTAGCGCAGGGAGTAGCGCAGGGAGTAGCGTAGGGAGTAGCGTACGGTGTAGTGCAGGGAGTAGTGCAGGGAGTAGTGCAGGGAGTAGCGCAGGGAGTAGCGTACGGTGTAGTGCAGGGAGTAGTGCAGGGAGTAGCGCAGGGAGTAGCGTAGGGTGTAGCGCAGGGAGTAGTGTAGGGAGTAGCGTACGGTGTAGTGCAGGGAGTAGCGTAGGGTGTAGTGCAGGGAGTAGCGTAGGGAGTAGCGTACGGTGTAGTGCAGGGAGTAGTGCAGGGAGTAGCGTAGGGAGTAGCGTACGGTGTAGTGCAGGGAGTAGTGCAGGGAGTAACGTAGGGAGTAGCGTAGGGTGCATGAGGAGTGAGCTGCTGTTTTCAGTCTCATATATCTGACTTTGGGTATTAAAACAATAGCATGTGGTGCATTTCGCTGCCAACCCTGCTCTGCTTGTTGTGTGGGCTGTGTGTTTTCAATGCCATATTATTGGTGAGACAATGGTATACCTCAGTATATCAAAGTGTCTATTTATCTATCGAGGAAATCTTTTCAACACTTTATAGTTGTCTTGACATCATCTATCGTCTTAAAGGTTTTAGTGGCTGATACTGTCTGACCCTGGGACCCACAGTGCGGCAGAGCAATGGGAAAGCTGCATGTCAGTGCTCCTCACAGTGCGTCCACATTGGTGCCATCGCTAACACTCTGCTGAGTGTACACACAGGTAACAGCTGGCAGAGCAGTCCTTACGGTGCGAGGTACTGGCGAGGTGCCTTGTCTTTAGCGAAGGCATCTGACATCAATAAAGCCTGATTAACCTCGCACTGTTCCCTTCCCTGCTAACAGAGGGCTGCTGCCGTCGCTCATCCACATGCCTCTGTTGGTTAACGCCGCATGTGAAACCAACTTTGCTTTATGGTTTACATCAGCGCCAACCTGGACAGATGGTTTACATCAGCTATGAGCTTTCACAATGAACACATAACACTTCTGGGGTCATTTTAAGGTACATTTGGTGGCAAACTATGTACACTGAGAACAATTGTTTTCCTTTACGTAATTGGGAGGATCCAAATAAGTTGGGGGTTCTTCTATATATTTATATATCTATAAAAAGCTTTAAAAGAGCAGGATTTAGTGGCATCTAGTGATGAGGTCTCAGAATGCAACCAATTGAATAACCCAAGTGTGAAGGAGAATCTACGGCGGCCTTGAGGTGGATTCACGCCACCAAATTCAAGCTGCCACTTAAATGTAAAAACGCTAAAGAGTCTCTCTAAAACCAGTGTTTGGTTTGCCCGTTCTTGCCCGGGAGTCTTTTTGGATTCCCCAAATCCTACACAATCAAAATGTAAGATTTTTTGTCATTAATGTTTGTCCCAGGATCTTAGTAGTAGAGTAGTCGGACGAGCTCCTGGAACCAAATGTGGGAACTTTTCAGCAGGCGGTACTAAATGCAAGGTGCAGGTACTTTACAGGGTTTCCGGCAGTGCTGTTGATCGTGACATCAGATGTGACATTACATTGCAACAAGGATGTCTACTACAACACATCAACATGTTTCCACTGCGTTTGTAGGAACGGGACAACCAACACTTTAACAAAAAAGACTGCGCATGACTCACAGCAACCTACATTGATTGAAGGCAAAATAAATGAGCGTAGCAACATTTGTAAGAAGTGAAGCTGACTATCAAGAACTTCTCCTGAGCAGCCTTTAACATTATCTGTGGTCAGTTGGACACAGGATATTGCTTTTGTGATAACACAGACCAGCATGCACAGCTATATCGAGCCAGTCTGCAGTTAAACACTTTTTATTCCGTCCAACACGCTACATTTTGTTTTTCATTCTCTTCTCCCAAACATGTCGTAATCAAACACTTTCTAATCACATCGCTTCAGTCAGCCTGCTATCTCCTGCCTTTGAAGTCTGCTCTGTGAGGTTCAACCTCCAGATGATAAAATGGCGAGCTGAAATATTCGCCCGAGGACCGGCTCCTGAGAGTATGTCACTTTTCAAACATCCAAATTGTGTTTCTGAGGCTTTACGCTTCAACTCTGACTCTACCTTGACGAGGATCTTGCCCTTGAGAATCGCCGGCGACGGCAGCCGTCCGGACTCGTCGGCTTTGATGTTGGATAGTTCCAGTTTGTCCCCCAGGATCTCTGTCAGGTACTGGGCCATCTTCTTTTGCTGGGGGACACTGCAGTGGTTCTCGATGGAGAGGATGACTGGGTAGCTGAGAGATAATCACACAACAGATTGGAGTTACGGGGCCGTAAGATCAGGAAGGACAAGAGGACATGGTTTTATTTCTCTGGGAATCTGCAGCAGTTTAGAATGCACCAAAGTCACCATTAAAGTTATGTTTGTTGTCTCAACCATTAGAACAGACAACATGCACTGTGCAGTACAATTACGATGTAACAATTCCACAGGGCTGAAAAACAATACAACATAAATTACTTGAACAAAGGTAAAATATACCTTAAGAAGGAACCCAATTGACATTGACTGGCTTAAAAAAAATGTACTTAAACTTCGATGGATATTTTAAAATGTACTTTGGCAAGTGTATTTTTGTATTTTTCATTCAAAGACAACATGATGCTCATCCTCCACATGGAAGTTGATGCATGGTTCTCAGAAGATGAATCCTCCTGACTTCAGCTGTACTTTGTGTTTAGTAGTAAGCATGTTAGCTCAAGTGTAGCCTCAGAGTTTCTGAGGACTAGTCTTGTTGGTTACAAGCTCCTTTTTCGCCTTTTGATGTTTTATGAATATCCTCACTGACATGTAAAAATCTTTCAATATGGAAGACTGCGATTTCATTCACACATTGTGGCCTCGATCAGCTGGAAACCTGCGACCAGTAAAAACATTGTTTTCCTATGACACGGTGCTCCTGGCGTGCGCTACCCTCTTGTGTCGAGTTTCTTAGACGCCCATAAAAGGTAAAATACTCTCTAAATGTTTCCACGCAAGGCCTACAGAATCATACCGCTTGTCGACGTCACACATGGTCCAATCAAATCAAGCAAGGGATGGGCATTACAACTTTACCGCTTCCTGTTTTTCAGTATGTCTCAAACCCCAAACCTCTGCTTTTTTAACAGCTATTTCCCCCTCCTCATCCAATAGCACAGCTATGGTAAGAACCTAACAACTGCTTGTATCCATTTTTAATCCCATTTACTCCACACTTACCCGATCACTATTCCAAGGCGTTTTTTAAAGTGGCCACGCCTGTAGGAACTCGCTTCTGTCGGATCTAATTTTCCATTTATCTTCCATAATCTTATATTTCATTTCTCTTTTAAGAGAAATGTATTTCTCTTTTAAGAGAAATGTATTTCTCTTTTAAGAGAAATGTATTTCTCTAGCGAGGACACTAAAACTTTCACTGCTAAAATGATGGCATGCCACTCTTTAAAGCTTTTATTCTAGTTGATCCAAATGTTCCTTTAGCTCAATAAACATCTCGGGACCAAGTCTTTGGTGTAGAGGCAAATAATAATCCACTTCTTCTTCTTCTTGTTGAGCACCTCAAATGTCCTCTGCAATAGAACACTTCAGTGCTCCAACAATGACACTTCAGTGCTAGTATCACTTGTAAAAAACACGTCAACACGAATGCGCTGTTATCTGTAGATGAAAATATAATATTGAGTCACAGTGACCTTTAACCAACAAATTCTAATGAGTTCATCCTCGATCATCCTGTGTTCAGAATTTGAAGAAAATTCCCTCCAGGCGATGAGGCATGAGATTTCCTATTTGAGAGAATGGACTGGATGGCCAGACAGACAACACAAGCCTCTGGCCACGGCTGTCACAGACTCCTCATTCACATGTCACCATGGCCTATCTCGGTCAGACGGGAGCTTCTTGTCCCAGTTTTGTCCCCGTCAGCCCACTTTTTATACAGCGCCCCGGAAAATCTGATCATTTCTTTGATGTTGAATGCAGCCTTTCACCATGTTTCCTTTTAGCCAATTATTTGTGGAATATAGTGTCCACAAGTGTGTTTTCATAAAAATACACAGGGAGGATGAACAGGCAAAAAAGCGAGCGTTGCTCCTTCATTTTACTTGAGAGGGAATCTAAAAATAGAGATTTTTCTCTGCATCCTCCAGACGCTGCATGTGGATGAGATTATCACCTTCTGATGCAGATTCTGTGTGGAGGGGGAGGGTAGGGTGGTGTGTGCTTTCACTTCTCACTGCAAGAAAATATTAATTAGTTTTTATAAGGGGCGGGGCTTAAGTATGGGAGGCAGGATTAACTCACCAATGAAAAGGGAACTCTCTGCTGAGACCAATGATGCCTCCAACAAGAGTCTAGGACAAACACTTCATGACCTGACCATGTAAGTGAACATGTGCCTTTTTGTTTGAGGCTATGAGAAAATGACTCTACTTCTCTCTTGATTTATTACCTCAGTAAACATTGTGAACATGAGTTTTTGATCTCAATCTCTAGTTTCAAGTCTTCTTCAATACAGCATGATGTTCATTTAGTAAATGATGGTCCATTCAGAGTCAAACAGGGTGTGCTTTAGGGCGGGGCTACACTGTGATTGACAGGTAGTTGTCACTACCAGAGACGAATACGGCATCTCTACATCACTCCTCCGCATCCCAAATAACTGCCGTTCTTTGGTTGCGAGAAAAAACTACACGGAGACGGCCCTAATCCAAGATGGCGACAGCGAAATCACCGAACTCGAGGTTTAAAAACTGCAGTCCACAAACTAACGGTTGACGCCACGATGACTATGTCCACTTCTTACAATGCCTAGAAAAAGTATTCACCCCCCTTGAATGTTTCACCCTTTTGTTGCTTTTATACATGAAAAAAAAAAACTCTTTAACATCAAAGTGAAAACTGATTTTTACACAATAATGTCAATTAATTAAAAATATATAAGGTAAAGTAAATGATTGCATAAGTATTCACCCCCTTCAGGTCAGTATTTAGTAAATGCACCTTTGGCTGCAATCACAGCACTGAGTGTGTGTGTATATGTCTCACTCAGCCTGGCACATCTGGACACTAAGATGTTTCTCTATTCTTCTTCAAAACAGCTCAAGCTCTGTCAGGTTGCTCAGGGATCGGGCGTGAACAGCTCTTTTCAAGTCCAGCCACAAATTCTGGATTGTATTGAGGTCTGGGCTTTGACTTGGCCACTCCAGAACATTCACCTTGTGGTCTTTGAACCATTTCTGTGGAGCTTTTGCTGTATGCTCGGGCTCGTCGCAACAGTTGCTGTATGTACAGTCTCTCCCATCTGAGCCACTGAAGCTTTGAACTCCTTCAGAGTGGTCCTAGGTGTCTTGGTGTTCTCTCCTCATCAGTCTTCTTCTTGCCCGGTCACTCAGTTTGAGGACGGCCAGCTCTAGCAGATTTAAACAAGTGCCATACTCCTTCCATTTCTTAATGATGGACTGAACTGAACTCTGTGGGATGTCCAGTGAGTTGGAAATCTTTTAGACATTAGTTTGTAAAAATCTGTTTTCACTTTGACATGAAAGAAGCTTTTTTTGCAAATTCTTGTCAAAAAAGCAAAATTATATTGACCATGATTTCATGTATAAAAACAACAAAAGGGGAAAACATCCAAGGGGGGTGAATACTTTTTATAGGCATTGTAGTCGATCAAGATCAAGATGCAGTCAGAAAACTTCACAGGAGTGTGGCTGAGATCAAAATGAAGGCCGAGTTTGAATGTGTGTCGGCCACATCTTCAAATACAGCAATGGTGAGGAGAGATACGGAGCTAGGGAGCTGCAGAGAACCGTTAACCTCCACCCACACCTCCCTTACCTGCATTGTAAGACCCACAGGAGGATGATGGTTAAATGAACTACAGTTGTCTGAAAAAGTGTTTGCCCCCTTCCTGATTTCTTATTTTTTTGCATGTTTGTCACACTTAAATGTTTCAGATCATCAAACAAATTTAAATATTAGACAAATATAACAAGTAAACACAAAATGCAGTTTTTAAATGAAGGTTTTTATTATTAAGGGGGGAAAAAATCCAAACCTACATGGCCCTGTGTGAAAAAGTGATTGCCCCCTAAACCTAATAACTGGTTGGGCCACCCTTAGCAGCAACAACTGCAATCAAGCGTTTGCGATAACTGGCAATGAGTCTTTTACAGCGCTGTAGAGGAATTTTGGCCCACTCATCTTTGCAGAATTGTTGTAATTCAGCCACATTGGAGGGTTTTCGAGCATGAACCGCCTTTTTAAGGTCATGCCACAGCATCTCAATCGGATTCAGGTCGGGACTTTGACTAGGCCACTCCAAAGTCTTCATTTTGTTTTTCTTAAGCCATTCAGAGGTGGACTTGCTGGTGTGTTTTGGATCATTGTCCTGCTGCAGAACCCAAGTGCGCTTCAGCTTGAGGTCACGAACAGATGGCCGGACATTCTCCTTCAGGATTTTTTGGTAGACAGCAGAATTCATGGTTCCATTTACCACAGCAAGTCTTCCAGGTCCTGAAGCAGCAAAACAGCCCCAGACCATCACACTACCACCACCATATTTTACTGTTGGTATGATGTTCCTTTTCTGAAATGCCGTGTTACTTTTACGCCAGATGTAATGGGACATACACCTTCCAAAAAGTTCAACTTTTGTCTCGTCAGTCCACAGAGTATTTTCCCAAAAGTCTTGGGGATCATCAAGATGTTTTCTGGCAAAACTGAGACGAGCCTTTATGTTCTTTTTGCTCAGCAGTGGTTTTCGTCTTGGAACTCTGCCATGCAGGCCATTTTTGCCCAGTCTCTTTCTTATGGTGGAGTCATGAACACTGACCTTAATTGAGGCAAGTGAGGCCTGCAGTTCTTTGGATGTTGTTCTGGGGTCTTTTGTGACCTCTTGGATGAGTCGTCGCTGCGCTCTTGGGGTAATTTTGGTCGGCCGGCCACTCCTGGGAAGGTTCACCACTGTTCCATGTTTTCGCCATTTGTGGATAATGGCTCTCACTGTGGTTCGCTGGAGTCCCAAAGCTTTAGAAATGGCTTTGTAACCTTTTCCAGACTGAT